GAGCGATGCAGCCCTGCAGTAAACGTTCACCTCCACAAACTGTGACTCAGCTGAACTACTGCGAGTCACTGAAAACCTCTGAGACCACGTTTTAGAAATCAGAAAGAAATCAACTTTCATTTGTAGGTGAGACTTCACTAGCAAGGACCACAACCTTCATACTTACTACTGATAATGTAAAAATGACAGATAAATGAGAAGCAACTCTCAGGGAGTGGCTGCTGCTTACGTGACACCTCAGTGGGGACTGAGCTTGATAGGCGGGCTGGTTTACAGACGTCCTACAGGAAGGTTTGAGGTGTGATCCTGCTCATGAAATCTGGAGATCCCACTTCAGTTATTTTTGCTGCCAGATGTTCTTAAACTGGTATTTCAGTCGTGTAGAGCTGGAGTTTAAAATGGTGAAGATACAGATTTTAAACCAAAAGAAATCCAAGCAAAGATTATCTGACTTTTCTTTTCTTCGGATCGAGCTCACAGCACACAGAAAATCGTTCTTCTGAATATTTCCAACTATTCCAGCCTCAGTCTGTGAGGTTCAACAAGAAGACAAATAAGCACCTGATAATCTTATAATTCATCCAAATTCAGCGAAGATGCAATAATTCAGTGTGCAGTTGTTTGTTTTTGGTTAACCCCCCAGTTATGAACTGACTACCAAAAGGCAAAAACCAACTTAAAACTTTGCTTAACTTCTACTGTGACTAAAAAATAGTGGATAAGGATGAGAATAATACGGACTTATAATCGTTGTTATTTGGTTGGATACTGCTCCTGATGCTGGGCTCAGACTGCAGCGTATCAGCAGGCTGAGGGTGACAGTGTGCATGGCAGTAGATGTTTTATCCACCAGGGACAGGAAAGACGACCATGACAGAATTATTTTCTGCTGTGATTCCTTCAATTCTGTGAGTTTGAGTAATCAGGCATCAACAAGACAGCATCACCTTAGTGTAAAGACCTATAAAGAGTAAGGATCACGCCAGTGCAGCTGGATGGAGCTGTGAACACAGCAACACATCCGTAGTATCTGCTTGTCTAACCAGCCTCAGGAGCAACATGTAGTCTGATTTGTCTCCAGATTTTATGACTCTGTAATCGGCTGATCTGAGTCAGCGACCACCTCAACAGATAAAGATGTTGTGTAGTCTGAAAGCAGCATCATTACTCCGCATTGAAACCGATACATCAACGTCAGCCCCTCTAACAGCCAGTCAGATGATATGTTGGGTTTTTG